CAAGAATGGTTTTAGAGAAACAAAATCATAGTCTTTGACTGGCCAAGCCAAAGCCCAGACCTAAATCCACTCGAAAATCTGTGGAAGGATATAAAAATTGTTGTGCATCGAAGACATCCTTCCAACTTACAAGAACTGGAAGATATCTGCAAGCAGAAGTGAGCAAAAATATCTCCAGCATGATGTGCAAAGCTTGTGGACTTTCAGCTGTCATTGCTGCCAAAGGAGCTTCAACCAAATATTAACTGCATAATCGTGTTAGGGGGTGAAGATTTTGCAACGTGTGATTTCAAAAATTTTTTTGTGTTATATCATTAAATTGGGCAACAATGCTCGTTTTATTCTTTGTAATCATTAGAAACTGGTCTGAGATTAATACAGCAAATATTTTTAGCCATTTGAGTTATGTCTTTCACAAGAATATAACTAAAATTGATTACCAGTACATGGGGGTGAAGACTTTTCCAAGACACTGTAACTATAGTAAATACTTCAACATGAAACTGTAATGTGAAATTAGCTTACTGGAAATAACGATGTTTCTTGTGAAACTTCCTTTAATATATATATATACAAGTTAGATAAACACTTAAACATTAACCTAATTTACTAAAACCAGGTATAAACATATTCTGAATTTCCTTACTATACATACAATTTGTACCACTATACACTAAATTAGCTTATCATACCACAAACAAAGTTATTTTAATGTAAGTTACTTTAATTTTTTACTATAAAGATGGTAAATTTTGTGTGTGTATTTTAGAATCCATCACTTAGAATTGTTTGGCTGTATTATTGTATGATAACTGCAAACTATCCAACGGTATACATGGGCCATGTTTAGGATTTTTCCTCAGAAGGAAGATGAAAACGCTGAGGAAACACTTCATATCTCTACTCTTTTTATAGAGTTCCGCTTCCATCATTCACAATTGGCTGCTTCTGTTACTGTAATCTTTTGTCTGGAAATTGTTCGATGATGTAAAGGGGTTATTTTGTTTTGGATTTTTTTCCGAGAAGGGGAAAGATGATGTAAAAGAAACCAATAGAATAGTTCACATTTCACTTTTTCTATAGACTTTTGAGTTTTAACTTAAAACACAAGTATTTAATCAGTTAAATGAGTAATTCATTACCTTCTACAGATTATAGTATGTAATTAGCATCTAATTAGGTCATTAAGGATTTAATAACAAAGGAAATAAGGTTTTTCTTTGTTTGTTTGTAATTAAACACAATGGGCTATCTGGGCTCTGCCCACCACGGGTATCGAAACCCGGATTCTAGCGTTCTAAGTCCGCAGACATACCGCTGTGCCGCTGAGGAGGAGGCAGGAAAGAAGGAAAAAGAAGATATTTAAAATTGTCCTTTATACAAGATTTGTTTCTTTAATGGGTAACTCAACTAATATATATCATTTCATTTCACTATAACATTTAACTAACCATACTATTATTAATATAGATATTTTAATAAGTTTCTTTACTACATATATAAATTTGATAAATCCTTCAACATTAAACTAGCCTACTAAAACCACAAATGAAAATATTCGTAGGATAAAATACTTTACACTATATATATCTTACTATAATAGACGTTGAGTTTATTTCAGTATCTATGTGTATAACCAAAACTCTTTCGCCATCTCCTGAATGGCGCCGCAAAGAAAAATCCATAAATAAATTCACATTTTGGGTGAATATTCAAGACTGAGACAATTAGAAAAATAGCTGTAGTATGTACAACAACCATTTCTTTATAATAGAACGTAATTTTAAATAAAAGTACTCTCCTCACAACAAGAATGTTACTGTATATAAGTAAATTTATAAACACTTTATAGTTGAAGAAGCTTATCAAAACTAGAAATAAATATATTCTGAATTCCGTTATTATAATATTAGCAGAAATGCGGTTGTTTGCGTTAGTAATTACTAATCGTAGTATTAATACTTCATTGAAAATGTTTTTAAAGTGTACATTTTCTAAAAAATGATTTTTTTCTTAACTACTGCACATGAAAAGTTTTCGGATTGCGCTCTTTAGTCATACATAACTCATTGCATCAAAATGATTCAATGTACGGAACTCAAAATTTTCATAAATTTTACTGAAATAAACTATAATGTTTTTCACTACTACTATTATAGTAAGACTTGGATGACCCTATGATATTAAGTTAGCTTGCAATACTTTTAGAAATAAATATATTTTAATGAAGTTATTTTATTATATACATAATTAGATAATTACTTTAGCAATAAATTATCTACCAGCACCACAAATAAAGATGTTCTTGTTGTAAGTTATTTTACAATAAACTTAAATTTTAGATTACTTACCATACGATTACCAATACATAAATATATGTCCATGATAAACATCTTAACTTTAAGCTAACTTACCAAAACCGGGAATAAAGTTCCTTTATTTTATAGACAAATTTGATAAACACTTTAACACTAAAATAGCTTCCATGTAATATATAAATATATTTTTGAAGTGAGTACCTTTTCTATACATATATTTAACTTTTATAAACACTTTGGCGTTAGAGTAGCTTACCAAAATCTAAATAAGGATATTCGTAGTTTAAATTATTTTGACAACTGTATATAACTTGGCTCAATACTTACAAAATAGAAATAATAATATTCATAAAGTAACGCCCTTTGTGTAAGTTCCTTTACTAAACAAATAACTTTGATAAACAATTTATTGAGATAATTAGACTGGCTGCAAAAGTTTTTATACAGTGGTCCCCCTCCCCTACGACACCCCTCGCCGACGACTTCCCCGCAGTTACGACTTTTTCCCGATGCACTGTCAGTGTTTGCAAGGTAATGTCCCCCTAATGAACGACATCCCCGTAGATGCGACATACGACCGACCCATAACGACTGATATCGGTGTTAACGGTTTCTCAGTTACGACTTTCTGTGCGAGTCATGACATCTTTAATCAACGGAGACTCTAAATTAAGAAATCAATAAATATATTTCCTGTTTTGCTGTCCATACATTTCATTTTATACTTTCAGTACATATACTAACAACAATATTAGGTTATACCTTTGCTAAGCGACATGACACAAAGCCATTGTTGTAACGTAGTGTTACCAAAACGCACTGTTCTACACATTAGCAGTTGTTAATATAACTGATTTTTACCAATAATTATTCTATGAATACACCATGAATTCATTTCATGAATGTTCTTAATTTTGATTGGCTCACAAAGGAATTTACCCACGTTTGACTGCCTCGAATACACTTTTCTACCTCTTTGTTTGTCACGCTTGATTTCGCAAAATTTATTTATTTCAGTTATCTATAAAATGTACTATGGGGTGGGGGTAGTAGTACTCGCCCCGTCAGTTTTGATGGGCTATATGCTAGTGCTATACAATCCTGGTGATATTCGGCAAAATGCCTGGCAAACGCAAACACCTCACTCTTCAGCAAAAGATGGAAGTCATCAAAATGCACGATAAAGGTGCTAAATGTGTAGATATTGGCAGTTTTTCTCACTTTGGTCACTTTCATGGCAGCATTGGAACCACTTTCCCAGAGGGCTTTGATTTTTTGTTTATCAGCTACGATCGTTTGAATCTGTGTTTTTCCACACTGCATTTCTGTGGCACCTGTTCATTGAGCTCATGATTGCAAAACCATTCAAACTTATTGACTATTTGCAAATAGTAACTATGGAGACGAGGTAATAAAATAAAAATCAAGTTGAGAAGAACAACAAAATTTTATAAACGAAAACCTCTCTGCTCTTTACGAAACTTCTTACTTCACTTTTTTGAAAAATGAAATGGTCTTTCCTTTTACTCCCCAATAACAATCAAATACATTTTCTTGAACTATGAATAACACGAATGGACTGACATATTTGATTAAATTATCTCAAAATAAACCTTCATTTCGGCACATTATTGAAATTAGCTTGAATTCTTCATAACCTCTGAATAGTGGTTGACCCAACGGGTCACGGTGGTCTAGTTACACTTAAAGTCTTGTCAAGAAAACGAAGTATCCGTAACTGTTTTTGTTAACAGTATGTTTAACCTAAAAGTTCCGTTTGGATATGTATATCTTATTATAAGATTTTAAAGGCGAATCGTAATCTTGCGCAGAAGTTGCAACAGGGAATACTAATATTGACTATAACAATTCGAGGTTGTGTATTACGTTTTGATCGTAGATCAGTATCTAGCTGATGACATTTTTGTGTAAACAGATTACAAATAATTGAGCAAAACATCGTATTTGATGGCACTATCACTATTAATATTATTGAGTGTGTCGTGAATTCTAACTCTAAAGGCCAGGACGATGATCTGTGTGAAAAATAATCGGTAATATTAATAATTAATATTTGATATATATATATATACACACATCTGTACAGTGGTCCCCCTCTCTAACGACCGACCTTACAGCCAGTCTATCAAAGTCGTATCCGCGGGGATGTCGTTAGGAAGGGGATGGGCCATTGCCTACAGTCGGCCAGTCATCCTTGGCCAGAGCCAGAGGCGAGTGGTAAACAAGCTCGACTGATTGATGATTTCACACCTTTCGTGCCAAATTCGTGGACAGGCAGAGAGTGATTATTTATGTGAATAAAGTGACATTAAACAACTAATGTGTTTATTGTTTGATTTCAACATCTAAAACTTATGTTTTTTTTCGCCATTTCGTAGATTTTTGCATCTTAAGAGGTAAACGTCATAGACAGCGATCGTCAGGCTAAACGAAAAATGCGAACTGTGGAAACACTATGAATAGTCAGAAAATATTTTTTTATCATTTTTTTTTCAATCAATATTCAAAGCATGCACAAATCAACTTACACAACTTCATCTTGCATAAAGAAATCAGACAGTTTTGTTTGCTTAACACATGACACATCAAGTTCGACAGCAGACAAACCCGCGAGGACAATGTCCAGAAGTTTTTTGTTGTTGGTTGCCAGTGCTCGGTCTCTTATTTCTTCAAAGTGAGAGTTTGTCGGGCCGAGATGTGAGAAGCTGTTAGGGTTTTTGTTTCTTCCTCGACCTCAGGGGCAGTTTCCACGACACCAAACACCTCCGTCGTTGCCGTGACCTCGTTGTCGCACTCAATAAAATCTGCCCATGACGACCCCTGAAGCAGTAGCAGCAGTTCGGCTGGAGCCGTCTCTGTGGCATCAGCAGAGGCCGTGGGAGCTGTGGCAAAGATGAATCCACAGTGTGCAAAGCACTTCTGAATGGTTTCAGCCTGCACACAGTCCCAGGCATACTTCAGCCAAGATATGGCATCCAGCACCGTGCCCTTGCCGGCCAGATCAGCAGCAGTGCTAGCCTCATTCATCTTAAGGAGGATGTGGCAAAGAGGTTTTTTCCTGTAGGTGGATATGACGGCTTTGATGATTCCACCATCACAAGGCTGGAGACGAGCTGTTGTGTTTGGGGGCAAAAATACAAGTTTTACATTTGACAAAGTCATAGCAGGATGAGCAGCACAGTTATCAACAAACATTATGATTTTACGTTTCTCAAGAGTCATTTTGTTGTTCAGTTTTTGGAGCCAGTCTTTGAAAATTGTGGATGTCATCCAGGCACGTTTGTTGGCTTGGTAGGTGACAGGCAGTGAAGACGTCGAATTGCCACGGAAACATCGAGGATTGGCAGCACGACTGATGACGAGGGGTGTGTGTTTCTTGCCCATTGCACTGCAGCCAAGTAGCACGGTTATCCTCTCCTTTGAATTCTTGCCCCTGTGGCACTTGTCACTGCGAATGACTTGGGAGCGGGTTGGGAGAGCACGATTGAAGAGGCCAGTCTCATTGGCATTGAAAATATCTTTGAGACTGTACCCCTCGCACATGCTCTCCAGACGGCTACACCAGTCGTTGACCATCTCCTCATTGACTGACGCCCCCTCACCAGACAGGACAGAACAGGATATGTTGTGCCGTTTCTGGAAACGATCTAGCCAGCCATTTGAGGCAGAGAAATCATCAAGGCCAAGCTCGACAGAGAGCATGACTGCTTTTTCTTTAATTAATTTGCCAGTGATTGGAATGTTTTTCGATCGAGCATTTATTGTAGGTCCATTTTATTGTTGTTCCTTCTATGCGCCGTTATAACACATTTTCAATCTCAAGAGTTTTAGTAGTATATATATATACATGTATGTAGATAGTTATTTGTCTAATATTTTTTAAGTTATTGATTTAGTTAATTTTAAACTCCTATCGTTTGTTTAATGTTTCTGAGGTTGTTCTGTGGTTGAAATATTACACAATAGAAATATAGCCTAAAAGTTTTGATAGCATTTAAATGTGTGTACTTTGTTATTATTATTTTCAATGTTTGTTTTTTGAATTTCGCGCAACGCTACACGAGGGCAATCTGCGCTAGCTGTCCCTAATTTAGCAGTGTAAGAGTGGAGGGAATGCAGCTAGTCATCACCACCCACCGCCAACTCTTGGGCTACTCTTTTACCAACAAATAGTGGGATTGACCGTCACATTATAACGCTCCCACGGCTGAAAGGGCGAGCATGTTTGGTGGGATAGGAATTCGAACCCGTGACCCCGCAGATTGCGAGTCGAGCGCCCTAACCACCTGGCCATGCCGGGCCTATTTTCAATGAATACTTCTTTAAGAAGAGTGTTACTATCTTTAAAGAAATAAACAATGACGTACAACACAGAAGACATAGCCCCTCCCTGCCCAGACATAAAGGGATCAGATCTGAACGCTGCCCCTTAAGTGTACAAGCCAGGTTTTGTATCCAGCGGTTCAACAGCTATAATCCGACACACATACACAGAATTTTGTCAAATAGTGGTTTAAATGTAGTCTTACTTCTAATTACGTAAGAAGGTCACAGTGCTTGTTCTTACAGTTGTATGTCATTTTGATTAGCATGAGAAATGATGGTTTGCAGTAAGCCCAATTAATTACTTTCATGCCCTCTTTTTTATATAATTAAAACACTATTTGTGTAAGCTAAATTAAATACTTAAGCCTAACAAGCACACATTTTACATAAAAAGTTTGTAGCTACAATGAAAACTTCGACATATCTAATGGCGATATTATAAAACAAATTATAAAAACTTGCCTTGACAATAAAAAAAAACTATAAAAAACTGGAGTTACCACTTGCATGACACACATCTGGAAATTGAATGATAACTGTGCTCCACGTCCTTGGTTCCACAACTCGTCGTGTCTGCGTATTTTTAGTGAATTGTTCTTGCCTTCATTCGATTACAAAAATAAAATAAAGGTGCTTTCACAACATACAACAAAACTGATATTTACGGTTAAAAAATAATAATACCCAGGCTACATTCTTTAACTAGATGAGTTACGTTCAGCTCTCATTTTTCTCTATTTAATAGTTAACTGTTTTAAATTTTAATGAACAATTTTTTGTCTTTCTTTGTACTGACTTTGTCTTATGTTTCTCGTTTAATACATACACATACATAAATTGTAATTCAAGGTGGTTTGCTTTCAATATGAATATGTATAAGAAAAAACTCGTATTGTTTTTTTTTAATTAAACTTTTTTAAGGGTATGATTCACCCAGCTCTAGTGATAATCTCCGACTTAAGAGGGCAGCAGTAATGCAGTTAAATTACTAATTAGTTGGCGGATTTGTCAGTAGCCTTCTTTCATTGAAAATCTGGTGTATTGTGACCAATTAAATTCAGTTCTACGTCAAACTACACAAGAGCACTTCCGTAATTGGTCAGTCAAAAATCAGTTTCACATAGTAGTAATGTGACATCAATAACTACGCGAATAAGATTTGTTCATCTAAGAGTCTGTAAACACCATTGGTTTGATTAATACACCCAATATCCAATGGTAATAAACAAGCTATTGTGTTTGATTGATAACCGTTTCTCACATGAAACACAGTTTTTAGTGTATATTTGTTCAGCATATAAAGGGATATTGGATTATCTTGCCACATAAAATAGGGAGATTTTCTTTTCATATAAAGATCACACTTGTGTTATTAGTATGTCCAAATACATACAAATACGTGGCTAAGGAGTTTGACCAGCAATCTGAGAGTCAAAAGTTCGAATCCCCGCCACCAAACATGCTCATCCTATACGGTAGGTGACTAGACTAGCCACCTGGGTGTAAATCTTTGTTGGCTTACAATAGTTATCGGCCGACCCCTAATTCTCTGGGACTAAGGTCGAAATAGGGGTGGGGACAAAAAACAACAACATGTATACACGTATATACTTTTGCTTCTCTGATTAGGCTATTTTAGTTTTTATTGGTTGATTTTTAAAATTCTCTGACTTTCCACAACTTTCAGGTATATCCATTCATAACCTTGTTTGCCCCATAGTAATTAGTTTATCATAGCCTTCTGTTTAGCTCAATTATTGAAGCAACCCAACATCAACTGAAATTATAACTTCAACCAGTCATTAAAACATCTTATTTTTTTGCTTCTGCTGCTGTAACATCTCATTTTCTGATATGGTAACCAACAAACATGGAACAAAAGATATGAACTTAGGATTACAAGCAGTCCTCTTTATTTGAAAGAAAAGTTGAAAATATACCACACTCAAAATACTTTATACACTTTCTCTACAAAAGAAACCAGTTTGATATTGGCATTTTATATGAAATGACACCTAAACATGGTCACACATTAGTCAGTTTTCTGAAGGTTAACATTATCTTTGATCCTAAGTTGTCCTAAAATTTTGCACAAAATAAATAATTCCAGTAAAGAGGTGACAGTTTACTTTGTAAGAATTAGAAGGAACTCTTCCCTTACATCTGAAAAGTCCCTCTGTTGAATGTGAATCAGTTATGGTTTCCTTTACTGAAACTGGTGTATTAGTGCCATGAATCACATACCCCAAACCATATTAGTACAACAGATCACAAGTTTGTGTATCCCGAGGCAAGTTATAGTTACACTGTCCATTTACTAGCATGGACACTGTACCTGCTGTGTAATGATAACCAAAAAACAAAAACAAATGTGTGGTGGAAGTTATTCAATTGCCAAGAAAGTTGTTACGTATCAGAATTTCGAATAGTCCGAAGCCGAGTTAAATAATTAAAATTTAGTAGTTAAACTGTACTTTGGATTTAGTATTTAAATATATGCCGATATATTAGAAAATTTACGATATTTGCCAACAAGCTTGATACACACCGTTTTCGTTTTTAACAATATAATATACACACAGCAGTATAATTTACAATAACAGTTATTACAAACAATGATTTATAAACAAACGTTTCACAAACTTACAAACGATATAAAGGTTTCTTTCTAATCTGGAACTTCCTCGATATCTTATGGAGGGTTTACGACGAGTGAGTTAATTACGAGTTGATTTAGATATATTTCACTTAACGGGAAGCTAACTAGCTTTATTCTTCACTGATCATACGACGATTTTTCCACTGTTGAAGTCAGGTGATGTTTTCATAAAAAATACTAATGTCCGATAAGAATCCACTAAAGTTAAATGATTTGTAATGTTCGAACTTTATAAATATTCCTGGTGAGGTATCTTAAGTTTTCCGATTGATAAGCACAGTTGTAGCTTTCGAAGTTTATAGCACACTGACTATAGCGAACTAATAATAGACATTCTCTTGGTGCGCCGCGTTGGTTATATTGATTGCGTGGGAACGTTTTCTAGAAACTTCAGTTTTACGTAACAATACTGGTTAAAGCGTTTACGTACACACACGTATATTGTTGATTCTTACTCTCGAGAATCTTCTACAACTTTGAAGAATAGACGGGAGTAGCACAATACATATCTAACACTACAAGCTATGCATGTTTTAAATATAAATTCAATCTAAACAATGTTCATATTAAAATAAATACATAACAAATTCGTTACAACTCCCTCCTTAGAGAATTAAAAATTGTCTAAAGCCAATTTTTAACTAAAATATTATATATATATATATAAACACTGACAGCAATACATTAAATATAATACATTATTCAAAGGATTATACAACTTTAATAAAAATTACACAATCAATACAAATAATCTTATGATCATAAAATTATATAGTACATGAAAGTGCATTGGCACAAATGTTATCAACCCTTATGACAAAGAAATAAAAGAAAGAAAGAAAGAAAAGGAAAACAAAACATAAGGCTGTTAGATTGCAGTTTATCACTATGAGAATATGGTTTGAAAATAATCCACATTTCTTTCTTTTCTTCTTTTTCTTTCTTTCTCTCTTTTTCCGTTTCTTTCTTTCTGTCCTTTTCTTTCTCTTTCTTTCTTTCTGCCTTTTTCTTTCTCTTTCTTTCTTTCTGCCTTTTTCTTTCTTTCTTTCTCTTTATATCTGTCTTTCCTTTGTCTCTTCCTTTCTCTTTCTTTCTTTCTGTATTTTTCTTTCTTTCTCTTTCTGTCAGTCTTTCTCCCTTTGTCTCTTCCCTTTTCTCTCCCTCTTTGTTTCTTTCTGTATTTTTCCTTCTCTCTTTCTTTGTCCTTTTTTTTTCTTTGGTTAGACCCTCCGACCAACTGACAGGTATGACGAGCTTCGCAAAACTGAAATATGTCTTGCCTAATTTTTGGCCAAAAGAAATGTCTCATTATTTTGTTTCATGTCTAGCTGACACCTAAATAACCTCCCATGGGGAGTTCATGGGCAACTTTCAAAATTTCAGAACAATATGGTTTGGGAACAACAATTTGATAAACAATAGCCCAGTCCTCTGAAGCTGGCACATCTGGTGTTTTCCATTTCCTCATAACCACACCATTTTTGAAAAAATAACCATTTGGAACTTTCTCCAGTTCATCTTTTGGGAGTGCATATTTAAATAGTGAAAAGATCTGCAAATTTTTTTCTTCTTCAGTGATCAGTGAATAGGCGGGAATTTCACAATACATATATCTAACACTACAAGCTATGCATGTTTTTAAATATAAACTCAATCTAAACAACATAACAAATTCGTTACAAAGTATATTCAGTTTACACACTTTTTCAGACTCAAT